TGTTTTGTGTGGTGTGTTTTTTTTGTTTTTGCTTTGTTTTTTTGTTTTTTTTTTATAAATGCAACCTGTGGGCTGAATCAAAAAAGATAAAAGATATCTGCCAGAGAAAGGTGTGTGGTATCGGGAAGGCCACTTTGGGCTCTAAAGACCTGTGTGCGAATTCTTGGTGGCTGCAGGACACTACTTGTGCTCGCCACCGCACCAGCTTGTACTGCACTTATGAGACTCGCCACATCACCAAGTGATACTGCAGTGCTGGTATGTAAAAGCATTTCTAACACCTCGCAAACCTGGGAATGGGGTTGTGTATGCCTGACCTTAGCAGGGATCTCTACGCCATTGTCTGCGCTATCTGCCAGGGTGTTGCTTCTCTTTGCAGCTTCGTATTCTGAGCCTGATTCTGTCATTCAGGCTTCCCCTTCACTCTCATCTGACATTTTTAAAAACCTGTAGACCTCTTCACTAGTGTACCTTTCATTGGACATTTTGGCAACTAAATTTATAGGTACCTAGTGCATCTCACGGGAAGAAGAGCACCTGGCTGTAAGGGACTACTTAAACCAGTACAAAAAAAGTATCTGCTAGTGCTAACATATCATGCCTGATCTAGCTAACATTGCAGTTTTTGTGTGCAATGTATCAAGGTGCTGGCAGGGGACGGGGCTGATCCTGCTCACGCTGCGTTTTTGGGTACACTATTCTATTGTGAACGTTCGTATAGTTCTGATGTGATCAACGATATTGATCCGTTCAGACACTATACTAGCAATGAAGTTTTATAGTGTGTATGTGAGCGGTTTCCTGGCAATCAAAGGGTTAAATGTTATGGTAATGTAGTGTCAGGCAATCCGACGCTATCTGGAAGGGATGCTAACTGATGCCAATGCTATCTGAAGTAGACCGTGATGCTAATACAGTGATCAGTAGAAAAAAAAAAAAAATCTTTACATTGTAATAATGAAGCTGGTAACAGGGCAGTGAAAGGGTTGGGTGGGGGCATGATCAGGGGGTTAAATGTGATCTAGCTGTTCTTTTACTGTCTGTATAGTGCTTTGACTCTCATGGATCTGCTTTCTTCTCTCTGGAACGGAATATGCTCTAGGATGAGAATATTCCAGCATTTCCTATGCCTGTGTAATGTAAACACGGGCACAGGAAGACCTCTGCTTTGGTACAACCAATCAGCAGGTCCAGTTCACACATCATTGTCCTGGATCTGGTGAGTGATCGGTGCTGTACCGAATCGCAACACCACCAGGCTGGCCCATGAACACGGCAGGAGCGTGGATCACGTTTTTATATATGTGATTTTTGCTCAGGGCAGATGTCCTGTAGCAGTAAAGCCACAGAAAGCAGTCACCAAGTAGTTAAATTGACAGTCTTTATTTGAAGGGTGAAGGCTGGGTATGAGGCAACCTTGTGCTTTCACAGAAAGTCCACTTTAAGGTCTATTTTTTTTTTTTTTTTTTGAGCCTTTCACTATTTTTTTTGAAAGCCATAGTGGGGTCTATAAATCTGTCAGTTACAGGGTGTGTTATAGGCACAAAATCATTACACAACTTGCTAACCGTTAACTGAACAGGTAAAATATGAGCGACTTAGTTTGACCTAATAGAAGCTATAGCACTTTTTCAAATCATTACAGATTTACACATAGTCCTCTATACAAACTATATTCAAACACAAGGAAAAATACAATAGAAGCACCAGTAGTTATAGGGCAAGGGTGAAAAAGGATGTTCTCAAGAAAATCTTTCTATATCTGTCTCCTATGCATGAAAGAAGCAGTCTAATTTTTGGCATTTTTAACGGTAGGAATTCCATAGCATATGTATGTGATATCCAAGGTGCCTCATTTTGCAAAATCTAATTTTAGTCTCCCATGTTTATGTAGTAAGTGGAGCAATTCCTAAATGGTAATGGTCAGATAAATTGTATCACCTTGATGGTCTTCTGGAACATAGAAAAATTAACCTAGGGGCATCTTTCCCAATTGTGACTGCATTTGTTTTTGAACTCTGTTCCTCATACTGTAGTTGGTCTTTTCAAATGCTTTTTGTATGGTATTGTACAGGGCCTTTATCCAAATATCTTCGTTTCAGGAAAACCTGCTACATCAGGATCTGCAGTTTCAGAAAAAGTGAGGACTCGGCTCGAGGCACTTGATGATCTGGAGGAGGTGAGCTGTATACTAGGGAATAAAAAGAACAGATTTAGGACCCATTTACACCTATGATTTGGTGATTTAGCTGTATTTGATCTGATTTTCAGTGCACGTTGTAACCCATTATGAAATATTGCACTATTTCATACACCTCACAACACCGTAGAACCGAAAGAAAATAAAAAAAATCATTTTTTCCAATCACTGTTTTCCAACACCGTGCAGAGATGAGACATACCACTTATGTGTAACATGATGACTGTGTGCAAACACATTGTAGTGTGGTACAGTGTAAATGGGCACCCTCTGTTCAATGGTAAAGTCTTCCTTTTTTTTTTTTTTTTTTTTTTTTTTTTCTTTTGAGCCCTCAGCTCTGATGCAAACAATGGGCTGACTCTTGGGAGAGCTTGTGCAAAATGGCACAGTCCCTTGATCGGTAGATTTAAAGCATAAAAATTAACACTGATCTGTTGGTTTGCAGAAGATGTTTCTAGGCAGGCTGAAACTGCATGCATACTACCAAAGGTAATGCTGACATATTATGTTGAGCCTTCATGAGTGAAAGCGGAAATCCAATGAATAAATGAGGGGGGCTGTATATGTTTTACTGCAGCTTCTAATGCACACTGAGAGATGTTCATAGTTTGCAATAAACTCAGATTAAGCAATCTGGGTTTAGAGGAAGAGGCTTTACAACTGAAAAAAACTAAAGATAGGGCTGGAGTATAGATTTTTTTTTTTCAATTCAGAAATGACGTTTATTAATGTTAAGGTCATACAAATCTCAAAATGACAAAGCATGTACAGAATGGTATCAAAGACTCAATCATTAACAAACCGAACAACATAAAAGAGAAAACCTTCCAGTGCTATCAATTAAACAAGAAATCCAAGAGTTTCTGCAACATTACAGAGATAACCTATTACAATGCAATCAGATGACATGGTAATTTTTGCATACACAGGACAATAGGAGTATCCCCACAACTGTTGGACCCGCAGGAAACAGAGCACCCTACCCCCCCACCAGGGAATGCAGGAGAGACCTAGATTAGCCTTAAGAAAGTGATAATCAAATTGCAATTAAAAACAACTACAACAGTCTATGAATTATTAGATCAAAAGGGGCTAAACCTGGAGTGGCCAACCAAGCATCCCAAAGGTTCTCAAATTTACCCGAACATCCTCTATGCTGGTAAACTAAACTATCATATCGTAAAATAATTCCCATATTTTGCTTCCAGTTGGCAACAGTGGGAGGAGTATCCGAGGTCCACTGCACTAGAAGTGGCTTGTGCGCCTGGAACAAGGCCTTGGAAAGGGCTTCTTAATATAAATGTATCCTGTGTTACCGAATCTAAAATGCCCAAAAGGCACTGCTTAGGATCCAGAATTAAATTAGTTTGAAACACCAAATGAAGAGTGGTTACCACCTCCTCCCAATACCTATGAAGTTTTGGACATCTCCACAACATATGTGTCAGATCCCTGTGGTCCCGCTTGCATCTGCCACAAAGGGGGTCCTGACATGCCCCATTTTGTACAATTTTGCAGGAGTGTAATGAACCCTAAGTAGAGTGTACAGTTGAGAAATGCGATGGGGAAACTGTTAACGAACTAAAATGTACGGAATGCAAGTGAGCACTCTCCTGTGACGGAGAGTGAGCCGTGCAGACCCTTCCATGTTGGGCTGGCCAGTGGCGGAGAGTGCGGCTGAGGCTGGAGGAGGACAGAAGAGATCCATGGAAGTGGGAAGGAGCAGTGTGGACACCGAGCGGTCATGTGATTTGCTCCAAAGGAGTCCTGGAAGCTGAGAGAAGCTGGCCGCCGTGAAGGAGGCGGTGGACCTTGCTCCCCTCTCTGTTCCCCCGTTACCATTAGATAGCTGGAGCTGTCGGGACCTCTGTAGGTGCATCGAGGGAGTCCCCTGCCGAAGGTTTATACCAGCAGCCATTGAAGCTGGCATCCCACTCCCAATCATTTGGCGTGGAGGAAGAAGAGGCCATGATGGTGAGTGATATGAAATGCAAATTTAATAAACTCATTAAAATTGACTGTAACTGTGAAGTAAAATTGAGGGGGGGAGGAGAAACCCCCAGGGGACTTGTCCAAAGAAGAAGTGGAAAGGAAGAGCTATTAAAATCGATGGGACCCAAAAGGGATCTGGATACTAACAGAGATCTCTAGGAGGGGGGGAGAGAAAGGAGAAAGAAAACTGTCAACAGTATATAAAAAACAAAGCGATAAAAGGAGGAGGGCCAAAGGCCTCCCAGACCAGCTCAATTATAACAATATATGCCCCAACAAGAGAAACAGACCCCCGAGAGACAGCAAAGAATAAGTGGAAGAACTGAGATGGAAAACAGGACTGGAGAATGCTCTAGACTATCCCTGGAAATGACAAATATTAGTCAAGATATAGAGCAGGGGTCCTCAAACTACGGCCCGCTGGCCAAATGCGGCCCACCGAGGACATTTATCCGGCCCGCCGGCAGGGGCTTATTTGCTGTGAGGAAGAGACACCAAGTACAGAGCGGGCAGGGGGCTGCTGTATCTTACCTGGCTCCGTGTCCCAGTTCCACGACGATCCAGTCCAGGAAGCGCTGCTCCTTCATTCACTCTGGCCACTCCCTCACTCGATGTTCACGCAGCCGTTCGGCTCTGCCTCCTCACCGGTGATTGGGCGCCAGAACTGAGTGAAGGACAGCTGACAGGTAAGTGTGCTGTGCAGATGGTGCTGCTGCAACCAGGTATGCTGGCTGCAGCAGCACCATTCTGGAACAGGGGTCAGCAAGTTAAGTGTCATTGGTGTCAGTGGGAGGAATAGTGCCCCATCATTGGTGTCACTGATACTAATGATGGGGCATTATTCCTCCCCCCACTGACACCATCGATGGGGCACTGTTCCTCCCCCCCACTGACATCACCGATGGGGCACTGTTCCTCCCCCCCCACTGACATCACCGATGGGGGCACTGTTCCTCCCCCCCCACTGACATCACCGATGGGGCACTGTTCCTCCCCCCCCCACTGACATCACCGATGGGGCACTGTTCCTCCCCCCCCACTGACACCAATGATGGGGTACAGTCCCCCCCCTTCACTGACACCAGCGACGGGGCACTGTTCCCCCCCCCCCCCCCACTGACACCGGCGACGGGGCACGATTGCTCCCCCCTCACTGACACCGGCGACGGGGCACGATTGCTCCCCCCCACTGACACCGGCGACGGGGCACGATTGCTCCCCCCCACTGACACCGGCGACGGGGCACGATTGCTCCCCCCCACTGACACCGGCGACGGGGCACGATTGCTCCCCCCCACTGACACCGGCGACGGGGCACGATTGCTCCCCCCCACTGACACCGGCGACGGGGCACTATTTCGCTCCATAAGACACACTTGGGGGGGAAATGTCTGTGCGTCTTATGGAGCGGCCGGCCTAGTATTCCCACCACTGTTGTATGTTTGCAGTCTCTGGTCATCTCCTGTACTGTGTCCGCAATTGTTCTTTAGTTTTTTTTTTTTTTTTGTTTTGTTTTGTTTGTTTTTTTTGAAACTGTAGTCCGGCCTTCCAACGGTCTGAGGGACAGTGAACTGGCCCCCTGTTTAAAAAGTTTGAGGACCCCTGATATAGAGGAAGGAGATATAGGAAAAATAGCGGATTTTGAGAACATTAAAGAACTCACAATTACCCACTAAAATAGAATTAGCAGAAATGTTTAAAGGATTAGAAAGATCAATAAAACAGGAGATGGCAAAATTGCATAAAGATTTGGGACAGGTATTGACGAGGGAAGAAGAGATGGAGGAAAAACTGGATAAACATGCCCAAGCTATAATAAATTTAGAGAGACGGATGACGGAAATGAGAAAAGAACAGAGGGATCTGCTGTATAATTTGGAAAATCAGGAGAACAGGGATAGAAGACTCAACTTAAGGATACGAGGTTTCCCAGAGATTTCCCAAGGAGAAAATTTGATGGAAACAATAGGGAAGGAAAATGCTTGTTATAGTAATGAATGGACAGACCTGCAACAGAACTACTTAAAAGTGATAAAGTATATAGAATTGGAAGATTACACCAAGAAGGTAGAAAAGAAAAATTCAAGAGATGTGATTGTACAATTCCATTATTACCGAGATAGAGGAGCTTTGGAAGAAGATAAAAGGAAGGACAGCAATAAAATTTGGCTTTTTAAATCTGCTGATCTTTGCTGACCTAGCAGTGGAAACTTTAACAAGGGGAACACTGAAACCGTTACTAGAACAAGTGAGAAAGCAGAATGTTGGATACAACTAGGGATTCCCAGCTTGCTTAATCGGGTGGGAAAATGGTCGTTCAGCAAGATAGAGATTCCCAGAGGACTTGAGAGATTTTTGTGAAAGTCTTGAGTTGCAGAAAATAGTTATTCAGAGGGAGATGGGGGGGGGGGGGGTATAGAAAGAGGTGGCAGGCAGCTCCTAGGGTGCATAAATAATAGAAATAATGATGTGGGGGGTGGGGAGAAGGAGAGATGTGTGTGTGGGTTTAATTTTTTTTTTCTCTCTCTCTCACCTTGGTTCTCTCTCTTGCTATTTTTATTTGGGGAGGGGTGGAGGGTATGGGGAGTGGGTAGGTAGTTTATAGTAGGAGATATATTAGTTTGGCTAAGTCCTTGAGAACGAAGGGGAAGACATGGACAAGAGAGGAGATGGAGGAAAGGATAGGAGAATAAAAGAAGAATGGAAGAGATTCACTTTGTGACTTATAATGTTAATGGATTAAATAGTTCTGGGAAGAGATTTAAGATATTTAAAGAGATTCCGCATAGATTGTCTGCAGTGGTTTTCTTACATTTGGGGCAAGAAACAAATGTGAAATTAAATTCCAGATATTATTCATTGTGGTTCTGTGCAGATTCCCCAATTAGAAGAGCTCAGGGAGTGGCAATAGGTTTTGCAAAAAATCTAAGGTTTAATTGGAAGGCAGATTGGTAGATCCTGAAGGAAGATTTCTGTTTCTGAAGGGAAAACTACAAGAAATAGATTGTACATTAGCAAATATTTATTGCTTGAATAAGAAACCGGAGATATTCCTAAAAAATTCTCTGAAAAAATGAATGGATTTCAATAAAGGTATTCTATTTGTGGCAGGAGATTTTAATCTCTGTATGGACCCTCAGATAGACATGACGTCCCCTGTGCAGAGAGAGGAAAGTGGGTCTTTGAGGTCCTTGAAAAAAATGATATTCCAATGCCAACTTGTACATATATGGAGAATTAAGCATATGAAGGACAGAGAGACGACACGTTTTTACTCCCATGCACAAGAGATGTATTCAAGATTGGACTATATATTGCTGGAACATCGACTTAATGGCCCTGATTTACTAAGACTTGAGTCTACCAGCACACTCTGAACATTCAGGCAGACTCAGTTAAATCAATCAACTCCTGTCAGTCTTCTGAGCGGCGTCTAGCAATCTCATTGACGAACTTCTACTTTGCAATTAGTAAATGTGGAATCGCGTCTGGCACATTTTAGGTGCAATACCGGATATGTTCGCTAGATGGCGAACAAGCGCAGGCTTTGTCCAGTTGGCGTTTTCCTGTTAGCAAAAGAGAATACTTAGAATGTAACATAATTAGTACACCTATATTTTTTTTTTTTTTCTGTTTCTCATAAATGATCAGACAACTAATGCATTTACTAATGAATGTCATAATTCTATTTTCAAATGTTAAACATTTTCACACTTCCATCTCAAATAATTTGGAAAGTTCTAATTTCCCAATATAATTATATATCTTCATTCTCTTTAATCACGTAACTATTCTATGTTAAAGTCAAGTGCAGCACTATAAATGCATGTGATCAATAGTGAACGCATGTAAAAACCAAAAAGTGCAAAGAATTGAAATAATGATGTAAAATGGTAAATGGTGCTAAAATAAGTTCATATAATCCATTCCTGAATAATGGAATGTCCTTCGTGTGAGAGTACCAACTCAGAGAGTGCCTATAAATGGCACGTGTTTTCTCTGTGACGGACAGTAGTGCATGAACTCGTGAAAGATAAACCACTCTTGGGACTGGTCTACACTCACCAGAACAAAAGTTTTAATGCGCATGGGTTATACACATCACACACATCTGGGGGTGCAGCGGTATGCTGGCAGCTATGGGTTAGTCATCCAGCTCCAGCCATCCATCCATCAGGGTGGGTGCCCAAACGGTCCTGGGGAGGAATTGGCTCAGCCACAGGAGCCAGAAAGGTGCTTAATAGTGTAGTACACTGTCACAAGGGTGGATGACCTTTCACGAGTTCATGCACTACTGTTCGTGGTTATATTTATCTTGTGTAATACCATTTTAGTAGTCTATATAATTTGACCAGCGCTCGCTTTATCATTTTTAAACAATGTATCTATTCTACATTGTAGCTCAAACTGTGTCTCCCACAGTGGTTTAGTGGTTAGAGCTCAGAACTTACAGCACTTGGGTCATGGGTTCTAATCCCAGTCATGGCTGCATCCCAGTTTGCATGCTTTCCCTGTATGGATGTGTTTCTGCCAACACTCAAAAGACATGCTGTTAGGTTCATTGGACCTTGTTACATGGCTGAGTTTCTGTCCTTAGATTATAAGCTCCTTGACATTTATGACCGTTTAAAAAAATGGAGATCAATTTTCTGGGTTGTCAGTGCCAGGAATATTGATCAATTATAATTTTGCCTAATGACTAGAAAGTGGATGAATGTTACCTGCGTCCAGTTCTTCAGCCAATTAGGAAATGTGCAAGTTTAATGCTGTGTATATTTCATTGTAATTTTTTTCTCTTCTTTTAAATCTGTCTCCTTATACAACTTGACCCCCTCCCCCACCATCACCTGTCCCATATGCAAAGCTATGGATCACCGCCCCACTCTTTTTAACTATTTACTGATCAAGTGAATGTGTCTCATTTTCTATCAGCTACAGCTCAGGTCTCACATTATTATACGATTGCTGATTGTATATCACCACTAGTCTGAATTCACAATCCCTGGTCAGTCCCGTTCCCTTACCTCTAATAATCTTTAGGACCAGTTCACACTACATGTGTTTCAGTTGCTTTTTCGGCATCACAAACGCACAGAAAGAAGGTTATATGGTTGTCAATGTCATAGTTCACATCAGCACTTGCATTTTCAGTGCATTGCAGGTGCTGTAAACAAAGTTGACCACGCTGCATTGTTTCTGCACAGAACTGTACTGGAACACATTGAAACGTCCTTGAATGTACTAAAACACACATGTCCCTAATTAAATTGAAAAAAAAAAAGAAAGTAGAAAAAAAATAACTGGAAGGGATACAAATATGCAATGCAACGTGTCCAAAACGCATCCAAAATGTACTGGAACACACTAAACATGCATGCCAAAAGAGCATGCAAAAACGCATCAGGAACATATCTAGATTGTTTCTATAATGTGAACTGGCCCTTAGGACTTGTTCACACCATTGGTGGTGCAGAAATGCATGCAAGAACACACATTTTCCAGCACAGCAAAGAAATGCAATGCCCTTTGCAGATGTGCGCGGTTAGGTGCAACACACTTTTAAAATAATATGCCTGCAGTATTTTTGCATGTTCCCACACATTAGGCAGGCCATTGAAATTAACGAGCTGAGGAAAAAAAAAAAAGTAAAAAATGCCCCATTCACACAGGTCCTCTGGCCTGTACAGCATGAATGAGTGGGTTGTTTATGTGGCTAGAGAGACCTGTTACACTGTGGGGACACAGCAGCTGTATAAACACAGGTTTTAATCTGACAGGTGTAAAGGCATGGGGAAGTGGCCCTGAATGCTCACTGTCTGCGTTCAGGGCTGTACACCTGCATATGCTTGTCAAATTATGACCTGCAGCAATTCCATAGTGTAACATAGGTTGCCTGCAAACGGCGATAGCCACAAAAACAAACCACTGATTCCCACTCTACAGGCCACAGCACCCATGAGCCCCAAAACCTCAATTACACCTCAATTACACACACAGCTTTTATTTATGAACTCAGTACAGTTTTATCATTTAGATTTCACAGGAATATGGTTGGGATTATGTCCATTAATAATGTTTTTAGTGTATTTTTACCATAAATATAATTTGGATATTTTCTCTGGCGGTGGGGGGCTGTCAGGTATGCTGTACGGGGCCCCATGATATCTTAACAGTGGCCCTGGGTGTATGCTTGTGTCTGTGCCATCTGTATAGTTAGGAAGAACCTTGAACCTCTGCTATGTACCTCAATGGATCTAGGAATTGGACATGTTTTCAACTGAAAATACAACAATAATTAATAATGTTTCCCAGCAAATGAGGATCAGCTCCTCGCTGGAGAACAGCGATCTCT